AACCATCGAAAGTGAATGGATGTTTCGAACAGATGTGTAGAATATTTCCTCTGAAGAAGTGTATAATAGGAAAATTCATGATGTATTGCAGTCTTTCACTTATACTTATTTCATATTAGATATGCGTCAGACACGGCAGATGACGGACCTCGTTCTCTCTCCTTTGTAATTTTTTGAATAATATGTCATTAGTATTAAATATTGACACCTGTTGATAAAAAAAGGGCGTTAATTTGATGAGTTGGGAACATTCCAATGTTTCTACCATTAAACGCCATTAAAGAACCCTTTACAAATAACTTTCGGAAAAGCAAAGACGTCTAAAATAAATATTCTCAAAGAAGGAGACGCATAGATTCGTAATATGTGTGTGTGAGAGAGTTTCCTGCTTTAAAAGTTTTGACGTAGCTTGATTGATAACTGGTTTTCATTCTGTTAACATTGAAGGGTCATATGTCAGTCTATAAAAAGAATACCACCCACCATTTTTTTTAAATTATTTATTTCTTCCTATTCTGGTCAGTCAATTTTCTTTTCTCTCTTTGCTCTCGATTTTGCCCTTATTTTGTTACTCTTAGACTTTTGGTGACTTAATCATCCAGATTTTATTTAGATTTTTTCTTTCTTTCTTTGAATAACTAATCCATCATAGATTTTCTCCTCGACAAAACCCCGCGCGGCACTTAATCAACATATCGATTATTCAAAACCCCTTCATACTGCTCGGTTAGAGGAATTTCAAAAAGAGACCGATTGGTTGAAACATTATTAAATACGAACGGGTGACCTTTTTTCCCTTGTGTCCAAAAACCATTTGTCCCTTTCATTGCTTTATTGAAAAGATTTTGCCTATTTATTCGCAAGTCCCTAAGTTAATTTAGTTTTCACCTCACACACTATACTTTCTGTCAATATCGGCTTGCGGATTTTACACGTATTTAAATGAAACAATACAAAAATTATGTATTGCACTATGAGTTGGGATAGCATATAGATAAATATGGATGGGAATTCGACATTTGATAATATAAAGACAAATAGGAAACGTTTATCAATCTAACATGTTTCACTTTTATTAGAGATCCTTTTAAGAATAAGATATGGAAAAAAATAGAAAAAATTTTGGTATTAGAATTATTATACACTTACATGGATAAAGCAATATTTACGGTTTTTCATGCTTGCAATCTGTTAATTTCTCGAAACTTCAAAAGGACGCGTCGTCTCTCCTTGAATTCGAAACGCCACAAATTATACTAACGTTTGCTTAACAAGTGCACGTGGAACCTGATAACCAATGCAAATCATATAAAAATTTCTCATTCTCTGATTGTTGTAGTGTAGAGTGGAGGCTTGTATTTCACTAAGTCGGTCCTAAAATAGGTTCGACGTACAAAACGTTAGGAACTTGATATAATATTTAATGACGCAGAGAAATCTAGTGGTGGTCGCTGATACTTTTAGTGGCCGACATCGACTGACTCACCAACTCACTGAGCGACTCACTCCTTGAGCGACTGCTACTACTCCTACTTATTATAGGTGGGAGAGTTTATTAACAATAGAATAGGTGTGTTTCACTATAACACTGATGAAACTTTAAGTAAAGTGAAACGATAGATTGATAAATGTTTCCTATTTGTTCTTTATCTTATCATTTACACTATGGAAGATGTGATACTCTCTAGTTAAGGGTAACCAGTTTCCTGTACTACAATAGGACGACCGTTAGGTTTCCATTAACGAATGCTTAAAGATGTGACATGCGCAGTACTGTCCACGCCATTTAAAACAAGGGAATAAATGCGATGGCCCACTAATAAGATAATGAGAATAAGGTGGTTGCAGTTCTTTGTTTGCTGATTCTTTTGTTTGTTTTCTTCTCAACAGAAGACCGGATTGTCTATAAAGTTCTGTTTCTCCTTGGAATCAATGTTTGTCAAATATGGCGGATCAAAATAGATCAGAGATCAGTTTTTGGAAAGGGCACACCATTGCAAACGTTAATACATGCAAAGTAGTACATTTATTGTTAAGAATAGCATACTATCAAGGTAACATTTATAAGATTTTGTTTTAACCTTTCGCTCCAAGCAAGGCAATAAAGCCACTAAGATGCAAGGGTTTACCGAGATTGAAGGAAACAGAGAAAATATTATTGAGAAAGGAGAACAATAAAAGAACAAAGTTAAAAAAGAAAGAAGTCGATTCGCATTGTTAAGCCTTTGAAGATCATTATTTCGCTGGAAGCCGGGAAAAAGTTCAACAGGTTTGACGTCGGAGAGAATAAACTGTTACCATAGTTTTATAGTTCAGTCAATTATGCGCCTCGTGTGATACGCGCTTAGGCGATCATGTATCTTTCGATACATGACTGACGAGGCAGATTTTTCCCGCAGAAGGTTACCATTTCTTTCTGTGGTAGAGCAGTTGCTATCCATGGCTATAAAAGCAGATCTGTCCTGCTATTTACCCATAGTTGGGCGGCGAAGACTAGGATTCATATTTTCCCCAAGGGTCTTGGAATTCGAGCTCGGCTCTCCGATTCCTCAATTCGAGCCGATATCCATTACTCCACCGTGTTTTATTAAACCGTTATTAATTCTATGCTTATTCCGGGAGTCCAACCTTCCTCACCCGAACCATTTTTTACAAGCAATATAAATTCCTTGACTTGCAATATTTGCTGGAAATTCTTGCACGCCCCTAATAATCAGTCAGTTATGTGCCATGAGTGATACACGCTTAGGTGATTATGTATCTTTCGATACATGACTGGCGAGCTAGATTTTTTTTCCGCAGTAGGGAGCTATTTCTTTCTGACACAGAAAATTCTACAGAAGTTAGAGAAGGAAAGCGAGAAGAAAGGACTAAGCATCAACTGTAAGAAGACAGAATGTATGGTTGTCGGGAAAAAAACATACGAATTATTAAATAGAGATATCAAAATTAAACAAATGAAAATATCTAAATATTTAAGTGTTTTAACGGACGATGAAAAATGTGACATCCGAATTCGAAGATGTTTTTCAAAAGTTAAGCATAATATTAAGAAACGAAAAATTTACTGGAAACAAAGAAATGAAAGAAATGGACTGTTATGTTACATTTGTAATCTTATAGTCGCGGTCAATGCTAGACCATCTCATCGCAGAACGGGAAGAGACATGAGGCAACAGAAAAGTGATCCTACAGAAGGATGCTGAGGATATCATGCGAACAAGTGAGCAAAGACGATTTAGATAAAATGGAAACAAAAAGAACAACTTATGAGAAAGAGACAGTTGAAATTTCAAGGAGACGTAAGAAGGAAAAACGACTTGGAGAACTTAACACACTCAGGACATATTGAAGTCAATGGCTTACAGCGGAAAACAACGCGTGTTTGGGTCGCAGAATTAATTTCAACTTTGAACTACTTTCATCTCGAAACTAATTTCACCTCAGAAGTAAGGATTAGAGTTAGGGTTTTTAAATCGAGTTGAAATTAGTGCCGAGTTGAAATTAGTTCTGAGATTAAATTTATTCCCAGTTGCAATTAGTTCTAGGTTGAAATTACTTCTGTCACTCGCGTGCTTGTGTATATACTTGTCAGAACAATAAGGAGATATAGCAAAAAGACGCAATATACTAAGGAATACAACGGGGAGAAAGTAGTGAAGAGCCATTCTCACCCACGTCATAAAAGGACACAGCACTTAGATGAAGAAGAAAACAAAGCCACTAGTAGTCACACGTAACAAATTTGTATATGGCTATACAGTGTAGCATTCGGTCAGCGAACAAAGACTTAGCCTCAGAAATATTATTACTATTAATTTTAATATTATTGTTAATCTAACTTCAAATTTACGCGATTTGTCGACTGACATGCGCAGTCAAATTCTTTATAAGTTATTTTAAGTCTTGCTTATTCCCTTTCGTAACAATTGTTCTTTGCCTGCTTAGTAGATGGCGCCTCAGTTTTTAATCTGTGTTTATATAGATCTTTTTTCTATTTTTTTCAAAGATTTTGGAGTAACAGACTTTCTTATCTTAGAAGAACATGAATAAATAAATAAATAAATATAAACATGGCGCCAATTCGGCAAGAAAAGTAGAGAGAATTTTTTGCTAGCTTTATTTTCTTTTTCCTTCTTTTCTTGCATAGCAAAATCCTTGGTGCGTGTTCGTCAAAAACCGAATGTAACAATTTTTATGAGATATAATTTCTCTTGATATTCTTTAGCATTTTTTAGACTTTTATATTGAAGGCGTTTTTTGCGCTTTTTCTTTTTTTAAATTTTGATTGCGTTTTACCCCGAATGCCCTTCCCCTCCCCTCCCATATTTTCAATGGCCTTAATATTTATAACTTCTCGATTTATTTTGTTTATTCCTTCACAATATTTCGATTATGTCATTCCAATTTCTCTGGTTTCGCTGTTGCAACTCTGTTCATTATTTCTTTCTTTGCTTTTATTCTCTCATTATTTCTGTTCTTTTCTTTCTTTCTTTCTTTCTTTCTTTCTTTTCTTTCTTTCTTTCTTTCTTTCATTATTTCTTTCTTTTCTTTCTTTTTTCTCTCATTTCATTCTTTTCTTTCTTTCTTTCTTTCATTTTTTCTTTTCTTTCTTTCATTATTTTTCTTTTCATTATTTCTTTCTTTCTTTCCTTCTTTCTTTCTTTTTCCCTTCTTATCTCACACTTCAAGCATTTTTCCACGATTTCAAATAGCATAGTTTTTTTTATTCTTTATTTCGATCGAAATACTTCGCTTTATTTTTCTTTCTTTCTTTCCTTTTTCTTTCATTATTTCTTTCATTCTTTCGTTACTTGCTTCTTGCGTGAATCTTTGTACATTTCTTTCTCTCTTATTTGTTACCTTATTTGATTTTTTGTTCTTGACTTCTTCCCCAAAATAACAAGCTGATTTATTCCCGCCAATTATTTTCTATATTTCTTATTTACCCACCGCACATTCTTAATTTTTATGAGTTTTTTTATCTATTTCTTTCTATCATGTCCCTTTCTTTCTTTCTTTCTTTCTTTCTTTCTTTCTTTTTTTCTTTCTTTCTTTCTTTCTTTCTCTTTTGCTCCTTTTATCATTTCTTTCTTTCTTTTCTTTCTTTCTTTTATCATTTCTTTCTTTTGTTATTTCTTTCTTTCATTATTTCTTTCTTTTCTTTCATTCAGACTTTATTTTCTTTCTTTCTTTTTCCCTTCTTATCTCACACTTCAAGCATTTTCCCACAATTTCAAATAACGTTTCTCATTCATATTTTTTTATTCTCTATTTCGATTGAAAGACTTGATTTTATTTTTGTTTTTTTTTTTTCTTTTTTCTTTCCTTTTGACGTTCATCCTTTCTTTCATTTTTTCGTTACTTGCTTATTGCGTGAATTTTTGTACATTTCTTTCTTTCTTTCTTTCCTTCTTTCTTTCTTTCCTTCTTTCTTTCTTTCCTTCTTTCTTTCTTTACTTCATTGTTTCTTCTTGCCTTTTTTCGAAAAATTACTTTTTTCTATTTGACTTATTCCCGCCATTTATTCTCTATATTTCTTCCTTTCCTATTGTACAGTCATTATTTTTATATTTTTTTTATTTCTTTTTATTTCCATAATGTCCCTTCTTTCTTTCTTTCTTTCTTTCTTTCTTTCTTTCTTTCTTTCTTTGTCTGATTTTTCCATCATGTCTCTTTTTCTTTCTTTGATTTATTTTATAAACATCCTAAACATCTTTGTTTATTTCTTTGTTAATTTCTTTCTTTCCAGCATACGACTTTCTTTCTTTCTTTCTTTCTTTCTTTCTTTCTTTCTTTCTTTCTTTCTTTCTTTCTTTCTTGTGAATGTATTTCATTATTTCTTTTTTTTCCAGCATATATTTTTCTCATCGTTCCTTCCAGTATATAACTTTCTTTCTTTTCCCCTTTCTTTCTTACATCCTTCTTTACTTTCTTTCTTTCTTTCTTTCTTTCTTTCTTTCTTTTCAGCATTTTCTTCTAGCATCTATCTATCTATCTATCTATCTATCTATCTATCTATCTATCTATCTATCTATCTTTCTTTCTTTCTAACCGTCCATTCCTTATTCGTTTGTTTTTTTTTTCAATCATGTCACATTTTTGCTGATTTCAATCTTTGATGTATTTCCATCATATACCTTAATTCCCCATGTATAATACGCTTTCATCCATAATACGCGCTCTTAAAATTGTGCTGAAAGTGTGGGAAAATGCTTCTACTTACGCATAATACGCAACCCTTGTTTGGTAATCAAACTATATAAATTGTACTTCTCCAATTTCATTACGGCCAGCGTTTCCTATTCTTATTTTTTTAAAAATTGGTTTTAAACATAGAATAATAATATTCTAATTGAGTTTCATAATTCTTATTTCATTTTACGACAATTTTTAAAAGATATTTTGTAGCTGTGCATAATACGCACCCATGATTTTGCTTATTATTTTATTTTTAGAAAAATGCTATTATACATGGACAATTACGGTAACTTTTTGTTTGTTTCTTCGTTACTTTCTTTTCAGTATACGTCTTTCCTTCCGTTCTTTCTTACAAGCATATCTCTTTCTTTCTCCTTTCTTTCTTTTTTCTGTTTCTTTCTCCTTTCTTTCTTTTTCCTCGTTCTTCCTTTCTTTCTTTCTTTCTTTCTTTCATTATTTTTTCTTTCTTTCATTCTTTCATTCTTTCTTTCTTTCTTTCTTTCTTTCTTAATACCTTTCATGTCTTACGACTTCTTTAAACTCTGTATCCATTATTTCCTTTGTTTTGCTTAAATTTCCGTCCTTTCTTGCAAGCCGATTCTCCAAATTTCATTCACAAAAATCTTTATCATTTTCACAATTGTCGCTACACACACGCTTGCATTTTCGCTTTTAATAAAAATGCGTTCTTTCTTAAAAATATCTCCCGCTGTCGATTCTTATTGCGTTTTTATCGCTCTTCAATATTTTAATCTTACGACGTCTCTTTTCCATTTCTGCTCTTATATTTATTTTCAATATTTTCTCTAAGTTTCTTTATTTCTCAATAATTTTGAGGCGTCACTTGAAGATTCTGAATGAAATATATTTCATATGGCCCAGTGATTGCACTGCCACAATTTAAAAATAAACATCCATGTGTACTTTTGATTTTTTTGGGAACATCCAAGCTCTCTTAACACACTAATACCTAACAATTTATACACAGCTACGTACACAAAATAATTTAATATATATATATATATATATATATATATATATATATATATATATATATATATATATAAAGTAACGAAAATCTTAGTAATCCGTATGGATAATCCCAAGGAGGATGAAATTCTGATAGCTCAATGTTAATTCATAGCGAATAATTTAATTTAAAGAAAAAACAGACCACTTTAAGGTTCCATTGTAATAATTTATTTCACCAGATACATTTATTTTCCCTGGATCTTCGGACATCACTCTCAAAAGGTGAAACGAAAAGTGAAATTAAAATTTACACTTTTGACAGGCAGTACTAAACTTATATAAGTTGACATAGAAGGTAGCGAGGAATGGTGTGAGATACATGGTCGAGTTTAGAGAGGTAAAGGTGAGTTTTATTTTTTTATACATACATACATACATATATATATATATATATATATATATATATATATATATATATATATATCGATTCCGTGGACCATGATGCATGGCAGCGTCACATAGACAGGACAAATAGAAGGTCCATATTTCTTAACTTCATTGAACTTAACAATCTTTTTGATCAATAGTAGATTACACAAAACATTTGGGTAATACTTCATTAATAACAGCTTTTAATTTTCTTTAACTCAGGGTCAAGCCTGCACTCAGAACACAACATCAATGCACGATAAATAAGGGTACTAATAAGATATATATATATAAATATATATATATATATATATATATATATATATATATATATATATATATATATATATGAGGAAATACAAGAGGACATATTAATAAGCTCAAAACACGTCTCATACAGTACTCCGTAGCCTAACTTTGCTTTACACCGTAAGTTTTGAGAATATTTTAGAGTGTTCTTCAAATATGAGAAGTTCATGTTGTCATTTTTAAGAAATTCACGTTACTACATAACATGTCTAATCTTACTTCGTTAAATTTTTACAATGAAAGAAAACCCTCTGGCATTAAGACATCACCTCTTGTTTTTCAATTATATTGCCTGTATATATATATATATATTTATATTTGCATTTTTAAACACACACACACACACACACACATACATATATATATATATATATATATAATATTATTTGTTAATCCTTATAGATAATTCGTAAGAGGATAAAGATTAAGAGAGTTCAATGAAATAACAGAGCAAATAATAATTATGAAAACGGAGACTTAAAAAGTTCATGGTAATATTTTATATCATCAAAACCAATACTTCAGATTTAACTCATCAGACGAAATATTTTCACGAAAAATGGATTTAAAATTTCCCCAGGCAAAAAACATTTATCTAAGCATGTATTATGCTTAAAGATAAAGATAAAAATTCAAAAGAGAACAAACTGGATAAAATGGAGGGAGTAGAAGAAGGATAGTTATTCAAAACGAGGAAGAGAAATGGTGAAAGAGAAAAGAGGGAGGAAAAGAGAGAGATAACTCTGTTTAAAGTGATATATGCCAAGTCGTCGGGATGAGAGTAGACAGGTTGATCTATTTTTACCGGATGTGAGCAGTGAAGTAGAGAGGGCATCATCAGATTGGAACAGAGAATAACGACAAAGAGAGTAAAGAAAAAAGAAAGAGAATAAGAAAGAGAAAAATGGAAAACTCGAGATATGTCTTGGAACTGGCAATCATCGTTGTATAACATTGAATAAATGCATGTAGCGACTCACGCTTTTGATCCCTGTGTATTTTAAAAAATCAGTTGAGTATACACACACACACACACACACACACACACACACACACACACACACACACATATATATATATATATATATATATATATATATGGATGGATGGATGGATGGATGTATTAATTCAAACGTTAGTATAGTGAATACATAGACGCCCGCTTTTTATTTATTAAACCGCATATATTACATCTATTGGGCTGCGCCTTCGAGACATCTTCCTATAGAAATGTTGTACCAAAGGAAATGTTTAAGAAATAACAAAACAGGAGGTTGCAGATAAATCGTGTATTGAACAGTAAATAGAACAGAATTAAATTAATAGAAAAGTCTCTGTAGAAAGCTCCTCGGATCGATATGTTCTCCCAGCACGACTTACAGGAGCTTTCTAGAGTGACTTTATTTCGAATGTACTTCCAGATCTGCTAGAGGATGTACTCCTGCTAATACGAATACGCATGTGGTTCATGCATAAAGGGGTTTCATTTTAGTCACTTTGTACGTGATGTACTACCTGACATCTATCATGAAAGATGGATAGGTATACATTTAACGGTCTGAATGTTCGAGAAATTTCATAGAAAATAGGCGTTCTCCGACAGGAATCGAACCTGTATTCCTATACGGAAGCTTCCATTTGACCTGACGTGCTGTACCATTCAGCTACAGAGGAGCGTCTGGTTCACAAAGTCCGAATGACTGATTATAAACACACAATCTTCGACGATTTTTCTCTACAGGTTCTATACCTGTCAGAGACGCATATTTTTTACGAAATTTCTCGAAAATTCAGGCCGGTAAAAGTAATTAATACTGATTGATTAAAAACAGAGCATTAATTTAGATAAACTGTGTCTATAAAAATAACGCATAAACAGAACATTTATTGATACACACACACACATATGTATGTTTGTGTGTGCGTGAGTGCGTGTGTGCGTGTGTGTGTACGGGAATTAAAATTAATGAGATCCAAAAAGATTTTCATACAGATCATCATTTCGTCCATGGAACCTAAGTCTTACCCCTGTATATCTATATAACTCATTCCTCTATTATAGGCTAAATCTTATTTCCTATTTTCTTTTTTTTATATATATATATATATATATATATATATATATATATATATATATATATATATATATATATATATATATGTGTGTGTGTGTGTGTGTGCGTGTGTGAATATTTCTGCAATATATGAATATTGTTGGTATTTTCATATTTGCCCATCATCTTAGCGTGCAACAATATATCTATCTATCTATCTATCTATCTATCTATCTATCTATCTATCTACCCCCATATACCACGCACAATCTCTTTCAGTCAATCGTAAACTATTTCTCTCTATCTTTCCATCTGTCATTCTGA